GCCAGCATGGCCAGCGAGTTCAAGAAGAAGCTCTTCTGGAGGGCAGTGGTAGCTGAGTTTCTGGCCATGATCCTATTTGTCTTCATCAGCATCGGGTCCGCCCTGGGCTTCAACTATCAGGTGGTGGGCAATAATACAGTGGCCCCATCCCAGGACATCGTGAAGGTGTCCCTGGCCTTTGGGTTGAGCATTGCCACTCTAGCCCAGAGCGTGGGCCACATCAGTGGTGCCCACCTCAACCCAGCAGTCACGCTGGGCTTGCTGCTCAGCTGTCAGATCAGCATCCTTCGGGCCATCTTGTACATCGTTGCTCAATGCGTCGGGGCCATCGTCGCTGCTGCCATCCTTTCGGGCATCACCTCCTCTTTGTCCAACAACTCTCTCGGCCTCAATGGGGTGAGCTGGCTCTCCACTTGGGATCGGGGGTGGTTCTAGAATAGAACAGAAGAAGCCTTGGTCCCACCCCTTTGCCCCATGTACAGATGGGGACACTGAGGAACTGGGAGGACTCAAGGTTACTGGAGGTCATGCAAACATTGGGGTCAGAGTTGGGGCTGGAATTCAGCTATGCCTGCAGCCTGCTTTCTTCCAGGCACTGTGGAAAGCTGAAAATCAGAGAATAATGGTTTTACCAGTGCTCCCTGTGGAGTATCTATTATGAGGAATAAGCTTAGGAGGCTGTTAACCTTGGGGCCAACAATGCCTTGCTTCTGGGCTGCAGCTTTCTCTGTGCAGTCCCTGTTTGTGTTGCTAGCTCCCTCCTCCTGCTGCTCTGGGTTCTGGGGAAACTCAAGCCACTGTCTCCAGCCACCCTGCCCCAGGTGCCCAGCTTGGCTGAAGCATAACGTCCTACAGGCCACCACTCCCAGCTCCTGACATTCATAGAGATCTCCCAAACAAACCACCTCCAAGGAAAAATCCCTCTACGGCTCCTCTGTACCAGGAGCAGCTCGGAGGTTGTTTTCTTCGATTACAATGTGGAGTGGGGACTGGAATGGAGGACAAGGAGCTGGGGACATGCCACCTCTTCTCTGGGCTCTGTTTCCAGTCCATGGGCACTATCAGGTGTGGCGTGTGTATATGTGTGTGAGCTTGTGCAAACTGCATGCATGTCTGCATACGTATGTTTCTGGAAGTATGTCTGTGAGTATGTTTGTGCTGCTGGGTGAATGTGCTTGAGTGAGTATGTAACTGTGTGAGCCCACTGTTCCTGGATTCATGTCATCTGGGCTGGGGTCACTAATGATAAACAGATGTTGGTAATTGGGTGGCAACTATGGAAAAAAATTCCTCCCGGGTTGCTTAGCATAGCTAAGTGTCGGTTGTTGGTGGTGATTGCCTGCTATTGCGGACCTGGGCTTTTTTAAATCCAAGTTTGCCAAGTGCAAACTCAGACTTAGTTTAAGCCACAACTGGGTGCATTTTGGCCTGAGAGTCATGGAGGGGAGAACATCTTAGAGGGCCAAGGGGACCAGCAAACTCACAAAGAGAGAGAGAAGCTAAGGAGCAGAGAGTGGAATGGTCAAGTCTAGAGAGCGGAGACTGGTGGGAAGCGGACAGGGCAAGTGGGAATGGGGATCGCTAGGGAGCCAGTGAGGGCTCTTAGGAGACAGCAGACAGCAATGGTTACAGCTGTCTCAGGCAGAAGCTGCTGGGGGCGGGCTTGGTGAATGTCTGGTACAGAGGGCAGCTGGCACGGCCAAGACAGAAAAGATTAGCACTTTATGTGCCACAGTGACACCTCTGCTGGGTCTCTTGTTGAGCCAACCTCTGTTCAGCCCAAGATTGAAGATTAGCTTTGCGGGCTGGAGTTTAGACTTTAGCCAGAGAAGACGTGGCTGTGGTGGATCTAAGGGACAGAGGCTACTTTGGGCCTTGGGCTTCTCCAGTGGGGCCAGAGTTAGGTGATGTCAGTGAGACCTCTCCCTGGGTCTCAGCTGGACATGATAGGGGTAGGGAGAGGGTCCTCATGAGGAGTTTTGAGGGTCTCCTCCTACTCTGAAGCAGAACCTATGTATCTGCTGGCAAAGACTTTACCCTGTCTCCTGTGGGCATCCCAGGCAGATAAGGGGAGGGCGGGGCACTTTCTGTGCCCATCTTAACCTGGCTACGCCCTGCTTGGTGCCCATGCCCTTCCAGGCCTCCCTTCTCCAGAGTCAGCCCATACCCGGGCTGGGCAATTCACAGATGGAGGAGAAAGAGGAGTATTATAGGGTGGGGGCCAGGGAGGCAGGCACCTGGGTTCAAATCTTATCAGCTGCTAAGTTATTGAGTTGTTATGGAGTTGAAGACCCTAAAGCTAAAGGAGGGGATCCAGGGATTTGACTTTCTGTTACTTGATGTCGCTTGGCTATGCCCATACTATCAGAAGACCCCCTTTGTTTATAGAGGGTATGACTCTTCCCAGAAAGGTTTGGCTGAGATGATCAAGGGATGGAATATTGTGATGGTGTGTGTTTTGGGCACTCCACTGTCCAGAGTGGACTCTTAGGGTCAGCAGTTATACTCAGAAGCACAAATCCTGGGTCTAGAAGCAGAAAAGATTTCCCTCAAAGGCTCCCACTGGGCACCTAGGATCTGAAGGTACCTGGGGGTGGCCTCGATACCTCAAAAGGGACAGAGATCAGTGTGGCCAGCAGGTGATACAGTCTTTCCTCCACGGCCTTGGGGAGCTTCCACAGAACCTCTGGCCCCAGGCCATCATGGCCCAAACCTGGGTGGAGCGGGTCATGGCATGGAGATTTCCAAGGAAAATAGGGAAAGAAGTGGCAGGAAGTGGTTGGGATGAGTCAAGGGGTGTCCCCCGAGGACTTGGTGGGGACAACTTTCTCCTCACTGAGTCAAGACTCAGGATACGCCCTGGAGACACCATGGCCTCTGTCCAGTCTGCAAGGTTCTAAGAGTCAAATGCCAGTCTTGGCTAAGTGTAAGCGATTCAATTCCTAATATCCCATGTGGCCCTAGTTCTCAGCTGTGAGACAGGGATACAACAGATTATGGCTAAGCTTGGGGAAATGAAAGATGATGGTCAGCAGCTAAGTCTTTTTTTCACTCTTTCCCTCACTGGCTCCCTCATGTGTACTCCCTACCAGCAAGCACAGCTGAGTTCTGCAGAGTGCTGGATGCTGATTCTGGGCTGATCAGCCTTGCTCTCCTGTCTGGGAAACCCCACAGCTCAGAGCAAGATAAGTCTGTGCACAGCTGTTTGAGATAGGAGGCAGGAGGCAGGTGTGATAAGCTGGGTCAGGAAGGCTTCAGGGAGGAGATGCCATGCAAGTCTGAATGGGGAGAGGAGGGAGATTCCATAGATGAAAGGGAGCAGGGGGAGGCCACTGGAAGCTATTGGGTCTGACTGGTCTGGGGCTTTGTGGTGAGATGTTGTCCTAGGGCGGTGAGGACTCAGGATTCAGACCTGTGTCTCTCTGAGTAATGGAGAGGGCTGGAGTCCTGGGGTGTCCCAGAGCTGTGATTTCAGTAACCTCGAACCATAAACACAAGAGCTTGGGTGGCATAGTGTTAAACATTGGGCTGCTAACCTACAGGTCAACAGTTCCAACCCACAGCTGCTCCACAGAAGAAAGATGAGGCAGTCTGCTCCCATAAAGATTTACAGCCTCGGAAACCCTAAGGAGCAGCTGGACTCTGTTCTAAAGTGTTGCTATGAATCAGAATCAACATTGTGACTCTGGGGTTTGCTTTATTTGTGGGGCTCAGGCATAGGACAGACCAATCTGAGGTCTCCTCTTGGCCTTGCTGATTCTGGGCTGCAGAATGTTTCTACCTGCGGCACCAGGGGCTGACCTCAAACTCTCCCTGCCCATGCCTCAGTTTCCCCAGTCATAGAGTGAGAGTATCCCTTCCATACCACCAGTTCTCACAGAGTTGGGGGGCCTCTCCTTCCCCCTCCGGAGCTTGGGGGTAGGCTGGGTAAGGGGAAACAAGTTTTCCGACATCCCTGCCCAGCCCAGCCTGCACAGGGCGGGCTGGGGGCTGGCTGGGGGCTGGCTGGTGGTGCTACATCTGGGACATATAATTACTGTTTCCAGCCAGAACCAGATGAGGGGGAAGTACCTCGTGATGGAATATTCGGAGGCTGTTTTCCTCATTAAAACCTTCGGAGCTGCCCAGCCAGCCCCAGGGTTGCCCACTCAATATGTGGCCATGCCAGGACCCTCTCCAGAAACCTTTGACAGGGCCCACTGGGTGCTTCAGATTGAAAGCACTTGGTCAGACCCAAAACCTTATGTGGTGCCCCCACCCTGCATCCCCCACGTCACCCCTCAGCTTCCTAAGTCAGCTTTGCTGAAATGGAGTAATTCGTTTGTTTGTTCATCGCAAGGCAATTCCATGCAGTCCTCTCTCCCCAGCTGGAGCATCAGGGCCCAGGGTCCCCATTTCTCTAGGGCTCTACTCATCAGGTGATTCCCCAAGACTTGCTCCAGGCCAGTCAGACACCCCTGTTCATTCTTTGGGATTCACTGAGGAAACCTTTACTGACAAAGGAAGTCCTTGGTTCCAGCCTCCCTGGGGGCCATGCATGAGTCCTGCCCTGTAGGTGTGGACAGGAAAATGTCCATGAAGCCTAGGGTTGTCCAGTGCCCCTCAATCAGGACCTCTCACTGGAGGCCAGAGGGGCTCTCGCCATAGTGTCAGCCAGCATGGTGGCCAGGCTGCACGGAGCTTTGGTACAAAGACTGGGTACACGCCGAGGCTGAAAAATCCCAATTTGAAGATGTTAGAGATGACTGGAGAATGCCCTTCCCTCATCACTAGTGCTCCAGTGCCCAGAAGCACAGCACTGAGGCATGGGCCCTTGTGAGGCAGATTTCTGCTTGGGTGGGATAAGGATTTTTTAGGAGGCTGCCTCTGAGTCAGGGAGCCCCCCTGTCACTAAAGGTTTGCAATAGAACCTGTTTGGCAGAGGTTGTTCTCGGACACCTGGCGATGGGGTTGCATCCAGTGGGGGGAGGTTTCATGTCACACGCTTTATGCCATGTTGGCACCCAGGTTGAGATGACCCCGGGGGGAGTTGTGCTCAGGTTTCTGGATCCTGGCCTTGAAGGTGGTGGACACTCGCTCCAGGGGTGCAGCCTGATGTCAGGGAGTGGGGAGTCCTGGGGCCTCTCTGGGGCTAGACTGTGAGCCTGGTTCTGTTTTACTATAGGGAAACTGAGACCCCCAGAGGAGTAGAGATTGTGTGAGGCTACAAGCCCAGCTTCCTGCCTCCCTGCCTTATTATGTGCCAAATACATATGCACATCACATGCATGCACATAAGGGGAACACACAGGAGCCTGGGTTACATTCCCAAGTCCCAATGGACACCCTCAGGTCCTGGGACCCATAAGGGTGGGGTGGTGGGGTGGGGCTCCTCCACAGAATTTCTTCCTTTTTGT